AACGGCAACAAATCCAAGGAGAAAACAAAACAGGAAGACGGAAATTCAGTGCGTACCTGCCCCACCATGAACAGCTCCAGGGTAGTGAAGCTTTCATTGTTCTAAGTCCGTGGCAGCCTCGGGCTTATATCAGATTACTTACTCCATTAACTGATATAGTTGATGTGCAGGAGGAGCAAGGCCATGGCTTCTTCGATAAGACGCAATGGGAGCGAACAAGATTCGCCTTTGAAGCCGCAAAAAAATCATCAGATAGTTTAGATGCGAAAGGTGAGCAAAGTTTATCCACCCTCAATGGAGGACTGATGCTCATATAATAATTGCAGCGGCATTTATGGATGACCAACAACCGAGAGAGACACCCCTGATTGGTGAATCGAGACAATCGGTGGCGGTCAGAGGAGAATACCTCAATGAAAAACCTAAATTCACCATTACATTACTGGTGATAGAACTGGTAAGTGAGCTGAGCCCGTCCCGGCCAACGCTTATCACTTTAGTGCGCGCAGTTACGACCACACTGCTACAAATCCCTTTGTAAGCGATGGGTCAATACTTGTGGAAGTGAGTCTAACGATAGTTTGCAGAAAATAGCAAAATAGTGCTGTAAAGCAATCGCAGGCGCTATCGCAATATATGGGAGCATCCTTCAAGACTAACAATAAGCCTAGGAGAAGGCAGGAGCTCCAGGGGAAATGGAAATGGCTCAGGCTCCTCCGAGTCTCTTCTTCCCCGCCTGAAGCTTAGTCCTATTATCACCGAAAGAGGCATGCCTTGGCGGTTTCAAATGCCGTCGCAATGGCCCATATATTGTGATAGCGCCCAATTGCATATGCTACCCACTCCACCTCTCCTTCCAGCCTCTTGAAGTTGATCCTTTGTCTCTAGAGTACTGGGGAAGAGCTTGTGTGGTGTCCTGTGAGACCAGAAAAACACGATCGAAAAGGGGGAGGGATCCTGGACTGAAGCAAGAGAAGGTCATAATGATCGTTTTCCACACATGGAGCTATTTAGTAAGCGGCGCGTAAGAGGAGTGTATGAGACGTAAGAACACAATAGAGGGAAGGCAATAAACACCAGACCGCTACCGAGTCGGAAATTGAAGCGGTAGAAGTTGACTTCTTTGCAGAGCCCTAGCGTCTTGTCGGGCGAATTCAAAGTAAGGGAGTACTACAGTACAGGTCTTGTTCTCTGAGACCCCATAGACCAGAAGAAATCCTTCACTGACCTTCTGTCTGGATTGTGCCTTTCATAAGTCCAATGTTTGCGCAGTTTGGGAAATGTAGCTCAAAAGAGGCTGATAATGTGAAATCCATAATGGACAGACAAAAATATCGGGAGAAATCGTGAAAAAACAAGTCTATTTCGTTTGTGGTTGGTTTCTGAGCCTTGTAGAAAATTAAGGCGCAACGTGAATGTCACGTAGAAGGAGGAACGATAAAGTAAGGCAAAGGAACGAAACAGTACACAAAAAGAAAGATTGCACACGAGTTTTCCTATGCCCACCAAAAGACGAAACTGCTCAAGGAAAACAGCAGCCAGCCTTTGGTACCTGATATCGTCGTTTCGTAACCGCTCCTGGTTTGCAGTAGCCCGCCCCTGCTTGAGCACGTCAGCACATCTTTTCAGTACGTTGGATGGAAGGGATGGTAATCGTGGACTGCGCTTGTCAATGCATGCCCCAAGATCAGACTGGTGTGGCTTACACTCGAAAATAGAAGCATTGGAGCAAAATAGACCTGGAAGAAAGAAATGAACCTGTCAAGAACGCTCACGATGAAGGAGGAATTCACGATAAGAACGAAGGTCAAAGAAGGGAAAATTGCATAGTTGGGAGACAGGCGGACCTCCTGAGGGTGCTGACCGACGCGCAATTGGCAGCGAAAGATTTGACCTCGGCATGGCTCACTCTTGGCGCGGTTGGCGGGGTACGCCACCGACTATCAAGTCACTCGCTGCAGGTCTATACTTGGCCAGTGATTAGATAGCTGAAAGAGCGTCAAGCGTGAAGAGGATACAACGATCAGAGTCGGATCATTGCAAGAAATCAACGAGCCAAAGGAGGTTCATTCTCTCTGGGTTTCGACCGTCTTCAAAATGGTTTCTTCTTCATCCGCTTCTGATCCTGTGGTGTGTCTTTTTGCCAGGAGCTCTGGAAAAACAACAGCGAGAGATGGAGGGGTTATATGAGATCGCTCAGGGCTTGATCTTCTGGGTTTTTGCATTATTATGGTTTGGTTGTTCGGTGGTTTGCTTTCTTCGGCCCGTCTACTCCCTCCTGGTTCCCTTGACCACCTCTACGTCGTTCGCCCTTATTATGAGTTCTGTGTGTTTTGTTCTTCATTTTCCAATGAGCTAACTTTTGTCAGTAAATTCCTGACTTTCAAAGAGCTTCCTTATTTTGTAAGCGCTGGCTAAGTGATTCGAGAGACTAGAGCAAGGAATGAGACATTAGAGAGCAGAGTCGGCAACGATGAGAGGGCGCCAGAAACAGTGTTGTGGACGGGAACTTGCTCAGCTGCTTCAGTCCTAACTTGATTGCAACCAGACCTGTCGCCTTTGTCAATAACCATGTTCCCACGCATATGGAATGCCAGCGCATTGACTGTCCTGAAGTAATAGATATAAGACTAGAGGGAGTCGTTTTACGACCTGGTTTAGACTTTACCTCAAAACCAACACTCTTAGATCAAGTCTGTGAGAAGCAACGGTCGATAACGAAGTGTGGCTGAATCGACCAGAAATGAAGAACCGAAGGAAAGCGTCGATGATGCCTAAAATCAAAATAGCCCTTGAAAAAGGAGGGGGCGGGGAAACGAGTTATGAACTTGCCTGCCCCTTGGCTCACCTAACGCTACATTTGCGCAACTCTGATACTCGTGGGCTACTCTTTCCCATCCAGTAAGTAGTCTGGCTCGACTTCCTGCTGGGTCGCTTCTTTGAGGGTGCGAACTGCGTGTTACGGTGCAACTGAAGAGAAGTATGTGTGCCCATGGGAATGGTATCGCTGATCACTAGCCTCTCACCTAAGCCACCTTACAGCCAAGGGTAAAGAGTTATACGGCCTCGAAGATTCACGCCCCAAAATCATAAAAATAGTCCTCAATTTGAAATGCTTTTGAAGGTGTGGTGTGTCATTTGTATACTCGTTTGGTCTGCTGCTGCAGACAATCCACTTTTACCTTTACTACTCGCTATTTTCAACATGCTCGTGGTGTTTCTGCTGATACTATCATGCCTAAGTGTAGAGGTATGTTGAATAATCTTTACCTTCCAAGCTTCTAAACGTTTGACTACTGAATTTTATAATATTTCAGTTCTTCCGGTTACAAGTGCGGAGAGAAGATAGCAGATCGGAAACAAGATTCTTTGTGCCTTACTCGTGGAGATACATGGTAAGTTGCCTGAGGACAGGGCGAACCGCTAGCGGCCGCTCCCTTCAAAAAAAAACGCAGAGCTCAAATGTTTTTGGCGTTGATCAGTGCTTCTTGAAATGCGCCACGCTTCTATATTACTTCCACTCAGAATCATTAGGCATTTGAATGTGATATGGCCTACACAATGATTCGCGGGCGAACCGACGTACAAGGCAATGATTTTTCTCCCACATTAGTCCGGTACCAATTGGCTCCCACAGAAGGAAGGCTTGGTTCGCCTGGGACGGTAGTAAAGTCCCCTAAATAGCCAGTCTATAGCTGGCCAATAGGTCACGTTGACTCGCCTTCGTCGCACTCAAAAAGCATGGGAAAGGCGGGAAACTTCGCGCTGACCTCCCGCAGAGGGCGAGGTCTATACCACATGTTAAGTGGCCAACGTATTAGGTGGCACCTAGCCTAGGCGGCGAACCCGGCAGAGAAAGGGGAAAGTGCGTGGAGATTGCAGAGACGCAGAGGGTCATGTAGAGGGCGACTAACAAGGGAAGGATCCCAGGTCGAAGTGGCCATTCGTAATGAAACCTATACTCACATACGTGTTTTCGGACGCTGATTTCAAATCCGTCCTCCAAATTTGCGGAACGATTCTCTGAACAGAGTTACAAAGGTTTCAAATGAATGGCCGTTAGAAGAGACACCCTCAGCCCACTGCCGGCAGCGGCGGCCTGGCAGAGTGGTAGTGGGGGCGCATGTTGGTGGTGAGACTATGGTTCGGATCCTGGTCATGATGAAGTTTTTGCATTTTGTAATTTTGCTTGTTTTCAAGCTGAAAGACCATTCAGTGTTGAAATTACGCCATGGACAACGCTTTCAAGTGTTTGCAACGTGTTTGCATGCTCCTTTCAAGTACGACCTAATTTCTTTATGAAGTTTTCGATCAATTATTGTACAGGGTAGGGTATGGGGTACTGCCACGTCACAGAAAGTGACGTCATTGTCAGTGACAGAGACCAATCTATAAACGGCAAAGATACCAACAACAGAACACGTTGCAAACACTTGACAGCGTTGTACATGGCGTAATTTCAACACTGAATGGTCTTTCAGCTTGAAAACAAGCAAAATTACAAAATGCAAAAACTTCATCATGACCAGGATCCGAACCATAGTCTCACCACCAACATGCGCCCCCACTACCACTCTGCCAGGCCGCCGCTGCCGGCAGTGGGCTGAGGGTGTCTCTTCTAACGGCCATTCATTTGAAACCTTTGTAACTCTGTTCAGAGAATCGTTCCGCAAATTTGGAGGACGGATTTGAAATCAGCGTCCGAAAACACGTATGTGAGTATAGGTTTCATTACGAATGGCCACTTCGACCTGGGATCCTTCCCTTGTAAGATGTACCCCTGAGTACATTTTAGTCGCCGCCTTCATTCCCCATGCACTTCCCTTTCTCTGCACGTCATGCATTGGTCGCATTGAGCGTCTCTCCGTCCCTGCCATGCGCAGAGCGCAGGGAAGAAAGGGGTACGTGGAAGGTGTTGAGTGTGGGCAGCAAGAAAGCCACTGGAGCTATCGATAATATTGATAACTTTCTGCCAATAAGGTGATCAGCTGTCCCCCGCAGTGTTCCACTTATTGATCGTGTTATAGCTCCTTCCTTGGTCCCGGGAGCATTTCACTACTGTACAATCATCTAGGCCATGATCCTAGGTTCAAACACGTCGATTGGCGCAGTGGGTTCGTTCCTTGTTGACATTGGATCGCGGGATCAGTTCTCCATGATACTGGATGTTTTGCAACCCTCATAGGATCCTACCTTGCTTTCTACAATTCTTTCGAAGTAACACAGCAATGCTTTGTGGTGCAGTGGCAAACGTCGCGCTCATGGGCGCTGCATTACATGGTTCAAGTCCATGGCGACGCGACTTTTGCTAGGAATGTAGTGAAGCTCGCCATTCAGAGCGGGGTCATCTGGCTGTCTCGCCTTTCATTATTCACCGCTTACGGCCGTAGTTCACCACCTTTAACTCCCAGTCTATGGCACTTTACTACCGTCCCTGGGCGAGATTCGATCTGGGATCTGTTCTCAGGACCGTACACGTGGAAAGTGGCGCCAAGTTAGTATATCACATCCCCTATAGGAGCTCATGCGATTACAGGATAGAAATGCATCCCTTTCCTTACCCGAGCTGAATTTGGGGTAATAGTCAGCCAACTGTACTTAGAACAAGTATAACTACGGGGCATTAGTAGTTTTGAAAATTTCACATTCTTCTTCCCCGGATCTATATGGTAACTAATTTCCGGGTACTCGCCCGGAGGCAGTCGCGCGACGGCCTCCTGTTGGGTACCCCTCTTTTCCTGGTCGTGGAGTCAGCAGAGACCAGTAGCAGCACGTGATGTGCGATGTAGGACGTATGTACAATGGCACATTCTATTTAACTTAACGCAAAATCACTAGACTGCGCACTGCTACTCATCCGCTGGCTCCGCAAGCTCAAATATTTCCGAAAAAAGTGTGGGTAGCTCTAAAATTGGGGAGGGGGTGTGTAGGATGGGATTTGACGGGCCTCCCGACGAATTTGGCAAAAGTTTGTCTACCCCCCAACTATCACCACCCCCCCCCCCCCCGTCTGGCAGAATAAATACTATAGAAACAGTCATGATTTAGGGTGACGATTGTGTTAGTGAGGAGGAGGTGTCGTTTTTGGAAGAGATCCAGACTGATGTGGAGAGGCGCATTCGATCCACGTAACAGAGAGCTCGCAATAATTTCACGGAACAAATGGAAAGAGACGACTGACCGGCTTTAGAGACGTAGACGGACAGTTGCAGCGAGCTCGTTTCGCCAGTGGTCTCTATTCTGCCGATAATTTCTTCTTCAGACGGCTTCTGTCCTACACAAAAGTACGGCGAATCTCCAACTCTGGCTTGAAACGTGACAACGCTGCGTCACACGTCTTGCGAAGACTGTTTGGAATTCTTGTTACTCGAAATATCAGGAAATATCATACATGTTTAGGTTTCAGATTTCAGATGTGCGAAGCGCATATCTTGCGGGCCTGCTGTCTGCTCTGTGCAAATATAACGATCATGGCATTCGATGACGATTTCGATACAGGCTCCATTATTGTACTCGCTGCTACTCCTATTCATCTTATAATAGTCGCTATACACATATTCATTGCTGTTAAGCCTAAACGTGAATAACACGAAATAAAGTGTTGTCTAGGCACATTTTGAAGAAATTTTGAGCACATCGATTCAAAGCCAGCAACGTGTCAACCGCCGCGGTTCTCTTACATGAGAAATTGAATTTGCAAATTACCTACAAATCATGGGGAGCTTTCATCCTGGGAGGGGTAGCTTGGAAGAACATCGCCATCTCAAATAGGTTTTTTGGATGAACTGTTCAGCTTCTCAATCAGAACGCGCCATGCGCACAAGCACCACCTGTTTCGTGGGAAGCAGTGCCAAACATACGCGGATTGGTTGGCGATTAAATAGCGAGAGGGTAGAAGTGCGAGAGTTTAGTGATATGTATTGACTTTTAAGTATAAGTATAAGTATAAGTTTATTACGTCTGCAAAAGGCACACGTGGAAAAGAAAATGATGAGCATATACAAAGAACAGTGTGCTTATAAACAAAAAACTCAAATACTAAAACAGGTAACTTCGGAATCAGTCTCACAAAACTATGACTCTTGGTTCCTCAGTATTGTGACTATACGATGCTTGAACTGAGCTTGTGACAGAGTAACCGGTATGTTCTTTGCAATGTTTATATAATCACTGCCAGCTCTATACGTGAAGCTTTTGGCACGTAGATTAGTTTTAGGTCGCGATAAGGAGATTTTCTAGAACCTTCCCCTCGTTCTCGAATTTTATTTTCTTTTCTCTAAGCGTTCAGTCCCGCAGTCGCAGGGTCCGCTGTCTTTATCAGTCGTCGCCACTTCGCTCTGTCTAGGGCATCTGCTGTGGCCGTGATTTCACTTAGGTCCTTCTGATTACGTCCTTCCACCTCTTCTTTGGGGCCTCCTCGCGGTCGCTTGCCTTGCGCTTCGAAGTCCATCGCTTTCCTTATCGGGTGGTCCTGTGGCCTCCTTAGCACATGCCCATACCATCGCAGACGCTGTTCCCTCACCTTCAGCTGGACAGGGGCAGTCTGCATGACCGCTCTGACATCCTCGTTTCTGACCCTGTCCAGCCGCGTCCAGCCGCAGGCCCACCTCAGCATCATGATATGTGATTTGACAGTGAAGAAAAAAGGCTGAAGAAACCTTTACCGAAGCTCGGGAAAAGCTCGCTCTTTTTGTCAGCAGCTTACATCTTACGAGCCTGGTATGGCGTGTTCGGGCGGATTTTCACGAACACTTATCATATTTCAAAGACGAGAAAGTTGTTTGGCCACTCCAGTGATAGAACTAGCCCCACTATTCGCGGGAAAGACTTCTTCAGCGATGCTTATCCCTACCCTTGCCTTCAAATATGCACCACTGGAAGGGGTTTGTTTAAAGGGTCGATGTTTTCATGGTTAGATCTTCCTCTCTTCTAACGTATCCTGCATCCGCGAGCACATCTGGGAGGACTAGATAGTTGTCTGGCTCAAAGACCAAATTCACTAAAGTTTTTTGAGCTTCACTAGCCACTACCCCAACTAATCGAGCACGTGCAATTTTCTCCTATCATTGAAGGCAGGAGTAAAGATCAATTTGATGTGGTGGTCCCACTCTGTATACGAAAGTAGAGCTGGAAGTGGACCTTTAGTGGGGAAAAAGGAAGAACCATCGTCAAAAATTCAGAGCACACAAATTTCCTCGCACTACGCTGCGGAGAAGCTAAGAGGTGGACAACAAACATGAAATGCTGTGATTCACAGAGAGAGAGAGTAAAATTCTAGTGAGCACAGGTGATCAACCAATACGGCATAGGGAATATATCGAACGGTGAGGTGGTAGGCTCGACCGAGCATTGTCAGTTCGAAATCGTAGGTGCCTGGTGCCTTAGGCTGGTGTCAGAGTCCGCGATCGGTCGCGCGAATCGCAAAAATCGCAAGTGCTCCATTTGAACATTTGAAACACTGAATATGAAACAAGTAGAATCATGAACAGTCGTCATTCAACCATCACCATCAAGCAGAAATGGCGGCGGGATTGGAGAGCACCTCGCAGTATTGATCGGGGCACTTGTGATTTCTGTGATCTGTCGCGTTCGCGCGCGATTCCCAAACGATTTCGCCGCGCACGGATCCGCGACTCTGACACCACTTAGTGAACGGCATTTTCAATATGCTCCCAGGCGCTCTCCGCGACCCTTAGGAAATCGCCGAGACTGAATCTAGTCCGTATCACCTCTTTTTTCTTTTCCCCACCCACACTAACTCGGACTTCTACACAACCGCTACTTCTAAAAGCTGGATTCGGACGCCCCGTTATACTCACGCAATTTGTAAGCCAAATCATCCCAAAGCCCAATATGAGAATAACAGCATTTCATGAACCACAAGATTAAACCCGGCGTTTTTAATTCCACTAATAACGTATCGACTCGCTGACATTATCCAGGAGTGTACACACTACACTAAGAATACCACACTGCAACACACCGGACAACAATTAACATGCTCACCAGGCCCCACCTCTATATTAATGCTACTCATTCAAAGGACTGGTTCTATAAGATCAACCGCATAATCAAATCTCCTCGCCAATCACTCGACGGTCTCAATCAAAATTGAGACTGGCTCTAAGAGTTCAGCACCAAAAGCATCCAGGTATTTGTGCCTAGAATTCATAACAACCCAAGTCACATTACCCAAAGAAAGCTGGCGATTTCTAAAATCAACTGCAGCCTACGCAATCGAGTATTGAACAGCTCCGAGCCTTGTGAACCAAAGAAATCGCACTTCGCATCAGTATTGAAGATAAGCAATAACTAACGACATATTAATCTCTCGGTTGAGAAAATGGAAACTTGCTCTGGGAAATGAGAGAGAGCACGCCGCGTAACACAGGCTATTGTGACAAAAGAATGACATAAGCAAAACAGAGAGCATATAGAACCAACTTCCAGGCTGTCTGCACCTATATTCTCTACAACCTTGATTAAAATCCCCTTTCAGCCCCTTATCAGGCTTTACTTCTCAACTCGGAAATAGGACTGCCCTCTCTATGGAACCCACAGGATCCTCCTAGCTAGCCTACCTACTAAACACAGGCAGCCACCTGGGACAACTCTAACGCCCCGTACTGCGCAAGATCAAATCATGGAACAGCTCCACGACGTCCAAAAAATGCCCTAGATGGCAGTCACCATCTGACAAGAGCTAAACTAGCACGATACAGGAGGTAACTAAGACGCCATCTGTGTGGTCGACAACAAATTCTCAGAGCAGGAAGGCGAAATGGAAGACGTAGGGCAATTCGAATTGCCAGATTTTCAACAAGAATGCGAGGTATTCAGTAACGGAAGCAAATTCCTGCTCTACACGAGGTCAACGAGAGAGCAGCATCAACCAAACGTGTCCACTAAGATTGACCTATACAGAAGAGGAACAAGAGCTGCTGCAGATTTGGGAGCCTTTTTGAGGCACAAAAAGCCGTCAACGGAATCGACCCTTATCATCAACAAATGTGACTCATGCAGATCCAGTTGATGGTGAAGTTGCTGGTTAACATACCTGAAGTAGGAAATCACCATTAAGCTTATTTAACTCTTTCTTGGGTGAAAGTTTGGGAGTGTTCTCCAGCACTTGAGATAGGAGGGAGCGCTCTAATGGAGCGTTTAGTTGGCGATCGTACGTGCGATTAGGCGATGTTACAAAAAGAAAATATACGTATCGATTAGGCGATTAGGCGATTAGGCGAGTAGGCGAGTAGGCGATGAGAGAAGTATTGATTGTTGCTCCGCCCATTGAGCGATCGCCTAATCGCCTACTCGCCTACTCGCCTAGTCGCCTAATCGCACGTGCGATCGCCAACTCTGAACACTCCATAACACGTAATTGACTCATCTACAGGATAAGTATCGGTGTAGTGTGGAAGTAATCTTGAGGTGCTTCTACAATTCAGCCTGCGATGATCCGAAGAAATGGTCTTGAATCACGGAAATGGAGATCTTTGCCTCGGCCCAAGGTTGAAGAAGGTCCAGGGTGGATGGGATGGTCCAGGGTGCGGAAAATTCGATAGTATGTGGGCAGGATGTGTAATGTGTCCACCGGTCTCTATCAAAAGTGCACTTCAAAAAACTCAGAACTTCAGAACTTTTCACATCTTTTTCTTGGCGTTAAATGGCTCAAAGAAGTGCTCTCTAGGGCTCAGGCGAGAGCATGGGGTATCCCACAAACTGGAGTTTCACCCTTTCCTATCTTTCTGTCTCTATTTTTTAATCTGAACCACTCGTAATTCAAATTTACCTCTTCTTCATGATCGACGACCAGATGATCACCCCGTTGTGGATTTGCGTTGGTGGTGTGTTTTGACATAAATTGCGACGGTTTGGAAGAGAACAGCGAAATCGACGACGGTCTCAACGGCATCGACTGCTTTTTAGGTCTGGAATACCACATAATTACTGCCATTACTCGTTCGTTACCGTAAAAAATGTTATTCTAGATCGTCTTTTTGCCTTTAACATTCATGCTATTAATATCACTTTTTACTGTTATCACTATTATACAATAGTTATTACTGCACATCATTATATTATACATATCTGCAATAATGACTAATTGTTATTGGGCAGAAGTGGTGTGGGGGAAGTGATGGTTCCATGGACACGGTCCTGAAGCTAATCCTGCGACACGCCGTCCAGGCTAACCTAAACGTTCATAGTACCCTGTCAATTAAAGGCAAGGTCCTTGATTTCCGATCGAAATTACGGGGCGTTCATAGCTGGCGATCGTTCGAGCGATTAACAGATCAGGCAATTACGCGATGACATAAATAATAAAAAGAATAGTATACGTATCGATTAGGCGATTAGGCGAGTAGTCGATTAGGCGAGTAGGCGAGTAGGCGATAAGAGAAGGATACGTATTGATTTGTTGCTCCGCCCATTGAGCGATCGCCTATCGCCTACTCGCCTACTCGCCTAATCGCCTAATCGCCTGATCGTATGTACCATCGCTGACTATGAACATTCCATTAGGTCTTTAACATCATTGAGCCCGCCCACATATCATCGCTATTCCGCTTCGCAGCTGCTAGACTGGGGCTTTATTCTTCTCTTTATCCACGGTTTCATCCCCTTTTCCATTACTGGCCCTACACGCCACATCTTCAGCCTCACATGCAAGAGCAGTAATATATCAGTTCGACCCAGAGTTTGCCTTTAGTCCATGTCTGAGTTGTCTGGGAGGATAAAAATAGTGGCTTGTGCATCGACTGACCCCCCGTAGATTAATGTGCAGGTCAAATTACTCAAAATGCTACTAAGGTTCTGAACGAAGGTAGAGTGCCACATCCTAAAGAGGATTCGAATTTTTATCTTTCTATAATCGTCACTACTCCAAGCCACGTCCTGGTAAAACAAGGCCCTGATGCTGTGTCAGTATCACGCCTCCCCATAAGCAGGTTTGTAGCTATAGCTAAGGCAAGACCCCTACCTCCTAGCCGGCACACTCGTCAGAAATTATTAAATGGACCATCTACTGGTGAAAAGGTTTCAAATATGAAAAAAAAATGTTTTGTCTTTGGAAAGTCTGAATGGTGATTGCATTTAAATATGCAAAGGAAATTAAACTAGGCTGAAGAGTATTCTTCAAGAATTCTTAAAAAGACAGTTGAAAGGCTTATGTTCATTTCCGATTTACCAAAGTCTCATAGAGCGCTTCGAATTAGTTCCAAATAACTCACACCATACACCTTTCCTGAGGTCTCCGTCTCGCGTAAATTCTCTCGTTGGCCCATCTTCCGCGTGTGTTGTCGCGATAGATAATTTCACTAGTGTCGTCGATCTTGGTACATTTTCATCCTGAAGACATTTTAAATATTACAAAGTGAGCATAATTGGAAGCAGAATTAGCCCAAATGAGATAATAGTGGAGTGAGACATTATTGTGACGAGCCTGGAAGAGCACAAGGTCAGGGTCAACCGTCCGTTGGACAAAGTCCAACGCGACGACGAGAGTAATGCCGAGAGTGAACGTACGCACGGAGACACAGACGGCTCGCGGGTGGCGAGAGTGAATGCCGGCGCGGAGAGCGGTCAACATCGGTCCAACGTCGCTCCAATATCGGTCCAACGTAACGGTTGACCCTGCACAAGGTTCTCTGACGCCCACGCACATGGCACTTCTCAAACAATGCTGAATGGCCATTTGGAGAAATGAGGGATGCTGAACTGTTGACGGACATGCAAACAACTATAAGCCATAAGGGCCAGAACCTGATGAAACTGTTGAGGGTTCGGCTGCCAAATGAAAACGAATAAGGTGGGCAATGATGCACTATTGGCGACCTGGTTGAGAACCACAACCACAACCTCGGCCAAAGTCAACAGAGAGTGAACGATCCACTTTTGTTATGCTTCTGACGACACTTTCTTCTTCAATTTCTTGCCATTTGAACATCAACCTTTAGATTCGATGAACTTATCGTGCTTAGCGTCATTAAGCACAACTTTTGGAAAATGTGCGCGGAACATTGTCATCTTAAGTACTGCAACCTAGTTTTCCTCACTATTCTTCACTTTTTCTGATTGAAGGCGGATCTTACGATGGAGGCAGCTCATTAGAAACATAGTGGTAGAGGGACCAGTGCTGCATGGATAAAAAACCATAAAATGGCCCAGAACCTAAAAAATGAATCCCTTCCTTGCCCATTGATTCCGCATTGATGTGACTCTCATCGGTGCTGCCCTCTTCAACGCCGTGCTCTCTCTGCTAAACAGCTAGAGAGTCAGACAGCGAGAGGGAGACGTACCGCGCCGATAGCGCCGCAGCTAGGGCCATACTGGATAGCGGAGGGCATATCCCTAC